TTATTTTTTATATTTTACTTTTAATGTTGTATTTTTATTTCTTACAGTTTTTTTGCATTTTATTTTACGCAAACAAGTCTGGAGTATTTTTTTGACTTCTGGTAGTATTGTAGTAACTCATTGTGACCTAATATGACATGCATTGTCGATAAGTACGTTTGTGAATCACTTTTGCACCGCTGTGGATCATTCAGTTGTTGACTCAAACGCTAACTTCCCCATAATTTGTATGGTGTGCAGCTTGTTATTGCTAATCATTTTCTTCTGTTTCCTTTTTAAATCTTTATTTAATTACGTTTTTATTTTATACATTTCTGAATTTATTTATATGTGTTTTATTAAGTTTAATTACATTTTTTAAAATTTATTAATTTTATTAATTTGTGTTTTACTTTAATTTTTAATTACATTTTTATTTTATTTATTTATTTTTGTGCTATTTAAATTTTTAATTACATTTTTATTCTGTATATTTATATAAAAATGCATTTAATTTTAATTTTCAATAACATTTTTATTTTATATATATATATATATATATATATATATATATATATATATATATATGTATATATATATATATATATGTGTGTGTGTGTGTGTGTGTGTGTGTGTGTGTGTGTGTGTGTGTGTGTGTGTGTGTGTGTGTGTGTGTGTAATTATTTATGTTTTATTTACATTTTTGTATTACATTTTAATTTGTTTAGGTATTTTTTATTTATATGTATTTTATTTTAATTTAATATCCTTTTTATTTTATATATTTTTATTTATTTATTTAGTTAAGTTGTTTAAAAAAATTTAATTACATTTTTACTTAAATAATTTTATTTTATTTTGTATTTTATTTTTGTATTTTTGCAGTGTTATTTTATTTTATTTAGTTTTATACCCAAACATGTCTGTGGTATTTCTGTGCAAAATTTTAAGTTGTATTTATTTATTTATTTATTTTTTAAATAGATTTTTTTTTTTACTTGTATTAGTATGGTAGTATAAGTTGTTCACTCAGTGTGACTTAATATGACGTGCATTATCAATAAGTAAATTTATGGATCACCATTGCATAACAGTCTTCAGTTGCGGACACAAACGCTAACTTCCCCATGTGTGCAGGAATGCTCTCCAACCCGTCAGCTTTGTTTTTTAGCACGAGTAACTGAGCAGATGCCATGAGGGCAGACAGCCAGCAGATCAGGTTCTGCTACTATTGTCCCGCCCAAGTTTCACTGCGAATGAAAATTAAAAGATCTTCAGTTTAAGGGACGTCGGAGTGTTTTATTTCATCACATGACGAGCAGTTGAACTTTGACCGCTGGGAGAGGCGTGTATTGGGTTGAACTGTGTGGAGCGAACACAACTTCACTGTTTTGATTTTTGCGTTGAGGATTCAGACGTGTTTTAAAGAGAGCGGGACAGTATGTTCCTTTGCAAAAAACCTGAAACAATAATATTTTGGAGGACTACAGACATGAGGACAGTCAGAAGTCTGCTCTGCTGATGTAAATCTCAATAGAAAAGTGATTTGCATATGATTCAGGTAACAGATTGACAGGCCTTTATAGGAATGATGTGAAATGTGTTCAGCAGGAAGATTTTAAATGGGTGTGTTGAGGCCTGAACTGACTGTCCATGTATGTCTCTTTCTACATGGTTCATAATTCACCTAGATAACAGGCGTTTAATGCTAGTTTAAGGATGGTCATTGTAATTATTTATATGGTTAATATCAGTATGATGTTTTTGAAGCATGGTCTGAATGCATGGACATTATGCTGTAAAATTACTTGAATGGTGTGAAGCTAGTTTTTACTAACTATTTATTTTTCTATTTCTCTTTTTTATCTTAATTTATTGCATTTTTATTTTATTTATTTGATTTTTATTTAAATTCTTTAATTACATTTACATTTTTATTTATTAAAGTTTTGAAATTCGTTTTTATTTTATTTTAAGCAAACAAGTCTGGAGTGTTTCTGTCAATTTTTGGGTTTTATTTCTTATTGTATTTCATTTTGTGTTTAATCATATTTCTGGAAGTCTGGAATGTTTTTTTAGATTGTGTTTTTATTGTGTTATTTAAATTACTTAATTTGATTTTACACTAACTTTATTTTATTTTTGTAATTTTATTTAATTTTATTGTATTTGCAATCAAGTCTAAAATATTTGTTTATAAATCTTTTTTAAAATTTACATTTATTATATATTTCAAATGTATTATTTTTGGTATTTTTAGTTTTGTATCTTTATATGAATATTTGTTTTATTTCATGCAAACAAGTCTGGATTATTTGGATCTAAAAATTTGGGTTGTATTTCATTGCATTTTGTTTTTATTTTATTGTATTTAAAAAAAAAAAAAGAAGCATTTTTAGGATTTTTTATTTGTTTTACCCAAATACGTTTAGCTGTATTTCTGTCCAATTGAATATTCAAACATTTGTCAGCTAAACTTCATTATACAGATCGCCTGGATTTGATGTTTTGGAGAAATATGTTTTAAACATAATAATTTTAATAACTCATCTTTATTAAAAAATTATTATCAGACATACCCCCTATATTATCAGACATACACCCCCACCCCGTAACCCCGTAATTTCTTAAGGTTTATTATTTGTATCAGCGTTTGCTCCTTTTTGTACACCTTTTTGTACTCCATTCGATTAGCCCTATTGATTTATTTTATAAGTCCCAAATGTCAGAGCATTTCTTAATCTTTTAGTCTGTTTTTTTCTCTCTAGAGTTTAAAGTCCTCAGGTATCACTGCTGACCTTTTGAACCCACAGCACATATCTTTGTCTTTAAAGTACAAGAAACTGGGTTTAAGTGCAGCTTTGCCAACTATTGAGCTGCAGTGCATTGATTAAAGCTGAAATCAGTCCACTGATATCTATTATTCAGATTATTAGCAGCTTGCATTTTATGTCTAATGAGATGATTATTTAATTTGTATTTGTTCACTGTTATATACAGTAGAAGTCAGAATTATTAGCCCACCCGAATTATTAGTCCGGTTTATTTTTTTCCCCAACTTCTGTTTAACTGAGAGTAGATTTCTTCTACACATTTCTAATCATAATAGTTTTAATATCTCATCTCTAATAACTGATTTATTTGATCTTTCCCATGATGAAATGTTGACTAGATATTTTGCAAGAGACTTCTATACAGCTTAAAGTGTCATTTAAAGGCTTAACGTTAATTAGGTTAACTAGGCAGGTTATGGTAATTAGGCAAGTTATTGTATAATGATGGTTTGTTCTGTAGACTATCAGGGAAAATATAGCTTAATGGGGCTAATAATATTGAAAAAAAAAAAATTTAAAAACTGCTTTTATTCTAGCCGAAATAAAACAAATAAGACTTTCTCCAGAAGAAAAAATATTATAGGAAATACTGTGAACGTTTCCTGAATCTGTTAAACATCATTTGTGAAATGTTTAAAAAAGAAACAAAAAATTCAAAGGGGGCGAATAGTTCTGACCTCAACTGTAATATACTGTCATTGTTTTAAATGGAATAATTACCAACCTTCTTTTAGTAAACTAAAAATTGTGTTTTAATATCATCAAACATTTAAAGTATTAGTAACTTAAACATTTTAAATACAGGAATTAAATCACAAACAAGTATAAAGCTACTCAAATGGCTTGGTATCAGAGTTAACAAAAAATTATTAATTAATTAATTTCATTAATTTATTTAAGTTGTGCTGAATGTAATCAGTTTATGCGTCACCATAACTCTTTTTCATTAAGTCAGAGTAACTTTTTTTAAGATTTAGAAGTTCAATTAACTTGTTTCATTTAGGGATTTTTCACTGTTAGGTTTTAGTGTACACAATAGCAAATTTTTATTAAATAAATAAACTATTATTATTAATTATGTATAAAATTTAAAAAACTACTTTAGTGTGGTCTTGTCTACTTATTACATTTTTCTATTAAATTAAAAAAAATATTAGCATTTTTTTGCATTGCAAAAAGGTTTTCAGACATTTTTGTATTCATTTTGTAGTCAAGACCACACCAATGTTGGTTTCAGAGTTATGAAATCATGTGAAATCAATTGAAAACATCTGTTGTTTTCATAGTTTTCTTAATGACAGTAGCAGAAATTCTTCAAGCTACAATTTTTACATATTTATTTTAAAGGTTGCCAGATATTTCAATTCACCTTTATTTCAATGTTGCTTTTACGATGTAGATTGTGTCAAAGCAGCTTAACATAGAAGTTTTTGTTTAATAAAACAAGATTTAATATTTTACTCAAACCAGTACCTAATAAATCCAGTAAAACCATATATAAATTGAACACGATGCATTTTTAAGCAACATTTTAATTGAACTTGATGTACAAAATAAAAATTAAAACTGAAATAAAAATAAAACAAAACAAAAATGACTAAAACTACAATAAAGATAAAAAATATGGAAAGTTTACACACAAAATACAATAATAAATCCAGTAAAACCATATATAAATTGAACACAATGCATTTAAGCAACATTTTAATTGAACTTGATGTACAAAATAAAAATTAAAACTAAAAATTAAAAATAAACTGCAACAAAAATGACTGAAACTACAATGAAGATTAAGAAATGGCAAGTTTACAGAGAAAATACAATAACAAAAATAAATAAAATCATAATGATATACTTAAAAAAAACAAGAGATGCTCAAATAACACAGTATTTAAAACAACAACATGAAATTGCTCTTGCATCAGTGACATTTTAATAGTTTTTAATGTTAAAAGCAAAAATATGCTCACCCAGCCAGCCCATATCACTCAGCCTCATCTCTCATGTGGTGTGCTAATGTTTTCAGGTTATAAAAGGGCTGTACTGTAAAAGATTAACAGTGCAAAGTTGAAACAGTTGAGTGAGTCTGCTCGCAAATATTTGCACATAACTTTCCTCATGCATAATGTCAGTAGATCTGATCTCTCCATAATCCATTAACAGTGTCTCTTTCTTTTTCTCTTCCAGTGTTGTTCCTGCACCACTGCCACTGGCTATTGATAAGGTAAGCACCCGTGACCTACCTTTTTTCATGCATTTTATAAATGGGATGTTAGGATGTTTTTTATTATATTTTTAATTTGCATTTTTTTGTTTTGTTTTATTTTATTAAAATGTTATGGGTTTTATTTTTAACCTATTTACTTTTATCAAATTTTACTTTAATTTATTTTTTTTTTTATTTTTTTTTTTATTGTGTTTGATAAATTTATTTATTATTCATTATTTTTGTTTTATTTTATTTTATTCTGTGGGTTTTATTTAATGAGATTTCTTGTTCCAGCAGAAAAGACATGAGCTCTTCTGACTACCTTTTTCAGAGCAATTTATAAATCGATGTGAAAAAGTTTTAGTTGTTTATTTTATTTATTTTTAATTCTAATCAAACATATTTTTTTGATCAATTAATAAAAAAAAATTGGTTTCTTTTTTATTTTTTTATTAATTTTATGTAATTTAATTAAAACTATTCATTAAATGAATTTCTTAATTATTTTATTTTATTTATAAAAATGTTTGTAATATTTTTAATATGAAATAATAATTATTATTTATTTATTATTATTTATTTATTTACCAGCAGAAAGGACATGAGCGCTCATGGCTGCCTATTGTAATTTATCTAGTATTTTATTTATATTCAAATCAAACACAGATGTTTTTTTTTATCAATTGAACATTTTTTTGCTATTTATATTTAATTTACTTTTTACATTTTATTTATTTATTTTTTTATTTTTTATTTTAATTATTATTATTTATTTTTTTATGTCATGTCTATTTATTTTTACATTTTGTTTTAGAATTTGCAGTGGCTTAACAATTTTAGATTTCTTTCATCTGATCACACATTTCCTGTTCCATTTGCGTTCAATGCATTTTTTATGTACTCTATTGGGATGTTTTTTTAAATTCAAATCAAACACAGATGTTTTTGGATCAATTGAACCATTTTTATATTAAATTTATACATTGTACTGATTTAATTTAATGCATTTATTGTAATTAATTTTTGGGGTTTTATTTAATATATTACTTTACCCAGTTTATGTTGTAGTTATAGAATTGATTTAATACATTTTTGTAATATTTTTTAGTTTCATTTAATTAATTTGTTTTTGTGTAACATTTATTTTTACATTTTGTTTCACACATTGCTCCTGCTTAATGATTTCAGGTTGCTTTCATCTGATTTCCTCTACTACAAGAACTCACAACTACATTTTTTCAATGCTTTTTTTTATGTGTTGAACTTAAGGTTGTTTTTTAATCCAAATTAAACATAGGCCACAAATGAATGCTTTCCAGTTGATCATGTTCTTGTGTGTGATTTGGCTATCAGACAGCGTGTAGCACTGCTATGCTGTTTGCATTATGAATGCCACTGATTTCATAGTCCTTGCTGTAGCTGAAGCCTTGAATGTGTGCTATCTTCCACGCGGCTCGCTCTGGCGTTTATATGGTGTATTTGTGTGAGCAGTCCTGGAGGAGGTCCAGATGAAGTTAGATAATGCAGCTTTCATCCTCTGTGTTTGACTGGAGGTGGAGATTTAACAGGGAACAGTGCAGTTTTGTGGTGATGTGTCTTTCTTTAGACGGTTAAATGACTATATTCATGCTTTATAGCATCAGTACTTCAACAGAAATGTAACGCCATCATTCTTTAAATGCTATGTTTGGTGCATTTGGAACTAAATGCTATTATTTAATGCAAAAATACACCTCATTAAATATGTATTCTTCCCATGGACATCACCTTTTTGGAAGCACACTATATACCAGTAGTTTCCAACCCCAGAGCATCAATTGGTATCGGCCGGCACAGGAAATCGTTAATTACTTCCGTTTTATTTATTATCCAAGTCTAAACAAGCTTTCATTTTGAAAATAACTATTGTCTCAGTTAAATCTGTTATTTAAGAGCCAAAATTTAACCCACAAGCAGCAAAATGAGTAAGAAACAGATGTCTTCGGAAAGTTTCTTTGCAAAGGGGAAAAGATCCAATCAAGGACCCGCGAACTGACAAGGAATAGATCCACAACCTATTGGCACAACCCATGTCAACAAATCGGGGGAATCCAGCATGTCTGTGCAGGATATTCAACTGCTGGAGATCCCAGATTATGGCGGCAGTTCACATGTTGCGTCTTTTTTGTGTGCAAGTTTGTTGTTTTCAATAAAGGCATGCACATTAGAAGCGATGTGACCACGGCACAGAAAAACTGAGAGCAGCCAAGCACTGCAGCAATTTTCTCCATAAAAAACAAACAAAAACAAACTTGTATCGGAGTTTCTGCAATTTATCGGAGTTACTGCAATTTTTCGGAGTTACTGCATTTTTTTTGTTAGCTTGTCATCCACTGAAAAAAGAGTTGATGGTAGTCTAGCAATCTGCGTATACACCAGGGAACCACAGCTATATACTGTATAACTGCAGGTTAACTATGTTTAGATACTGTCCATTATAAACACAACTCCTTAACTTCTTCTAATTTTAGCTGTAAGGTAGAAATAAGGTGGACCTTTCGTAAAGGTGATAAGATCTCAGCCTTATTAAAACATGCACTGCATCACAATTCACGTTATTATCCTGTATGGATTGGCCTGTTAAAAGTCTGGTGGGTTTTAAAGTACACTACAGCTTAAAAATTAAGGTCAGCATTTTAAAAAAATGAAGTCAGGGCTGCATTTATTGAATTAAAAAATCTGGAGGAAATATACAACATATCTTCATTGAACATATTTTTGGCATAAAAGATTCATTTAGGGTTTTTTTAGGCTACTGCTGGAATTATTGTGCAGCTCAAGACATATTGAAGTCACATATTGTGAAATATAAATCATTTATGGTAACTATTTTATAAAACTTATTCTGCAAATAAACGTAATCTAAAATGTTATTAGAATTTATAGCTTCTATTTTTTTATTACTGTACTAATATGCTCATTTGATAAACATGAAGCTTTTCTGATAATTATTAATATTAAATGGTAAATGCAATTACAACAGTTTTTTTTTTTGGGAAAGCATGCAGCATTTAAGAATTCTTTGAATAAAAAACGAACAATTATTTATTTATTTATTAAATTTAACCTTACTTGCATAGTTAAAATATTGTATTTTGTAACATTTAATGGCGTATTATAAGTCTAACATAAACATTTAAACTATTATAAACACTCTAAAATGTTCTAGCGATGCATTGATGCAGTAGGTAGTGCTGTCGCCTCACAGCAAGAAGGTCACTGGTTCAAGCCTCGGCTGAGTCAGTTGGCGTTTCTGTGTGAAGTTTGCATGTTCTCCCTGCGTGGGTTTCCCCCACAGTCCAAAAACATGCAGTACAGGTGACTTGGGTAGGCTAAATTGTCCGTAGTGTATGAGTGTAAATGGGTGTGTATGGATGTTTCCCATGGGTTGCGGCTGGAAGGGCATTAATTGTAGCATATCAGACTGCACGAACATGGATCTCATGTCACACTAAGATCTCAGCTATAATGTCAGTCTAAATGACAATGAAGACGCACCAAACACGGAAGAAAACACCCCCGGAGTTTGACGTCATCCACTTTCACTATGCCGCGTTCTGAAATGATTCCTCACAGCAAACGTAAACAATCCATAGCGCCAATTTTGCACACAGCAGGTCTCAATAATAAAACCAGGAAGAAAAAAACTGTTCTGACATTTCCCCGCGCTCATTTGAATTGTCACATGGGTTGCGTCATCAAATTCTGAGCTCCTATTGGTTCTTGGATTGACGCTCATCGCAGCTGTTGTCACACCGCAGCAAAGTGCCTGAAATCTTTTTCAGACAATTTTCTGCGGGAAAACCACCAATCATTGATTCATTTTCCTTCGCCTTAAACCCTTTATTCTTCAGGGGTCGCCACAGCATAATGAACCGCCAACTAATCCACATTATGTTTTACACAGCGGATGCCCTTCCAGCTGCAACCCAGTACTGGGAAACATCCAAATACACTCATTTACTATGGGCAATTTAGTCCATCCAGTTCACCTACAGCGCATGTGTTTGGACTGTGGGGGAAACCGGAGCACCCGGAGGAAACCCACGCCAACACAGGGAGAACAGAAATTCCAACTGGCCCAGCCAGAGCTCGAATCAGCATCCTTCTTGCTGTGAGGCCACAGTGCTACCAACTGCAAAACTGTGTCGCCCTTCACCAAGAATTAATAATGCATAATTATATGCCCTCATGGCTTTGCAATCAAAAAATGTAATTACAATGGGGCAAAAAAAGCCCCCAACATAACGAAAGGGTAGTCAATTTGAGCAATACGTGAGGCGAGGGTTAAACCCCCTGAATGCAGACCTGTCAATGCCATGTCCAGATTGCATATAGCACTTCTATATCTGACCGCAGCATCTGACAGCGTCAGTGTAAAAATACTCTTTCCTTCTTTGCTGCGATATGGGAGCGTCTCCTCATGTGGATTCAATAAACTTGAGTCACGATTTCACTATTTGGATCACTGCGGATACAAATGTTAGCAGTGAGGCAATTCAATTCAAGCAAGGAACAAGGCTCCTATTCAAGCCAGACTGAGATCATTCAAGGTTATTAGCGGGTTTTCAGATGTTTCAGTTTCTTTTGGTTACGATTGGAAACCGCTTTTGAATAAAACTGGGCTCATTCAGATCCATCAAGGACAGCATGTTAAAAGATGCTCAATGGATTCATTATAGCAGTGGCAGCCAAGCAGAGATTCTGTGCTGAAATTTCTCTTTCATTTCTTTTTTTCTTGTCATGCAGGTGTCCGCAAATACTCCCAGTATGTATTCTCAGGAACTGTTTCAGCTCTCCCAGTACCTGCAGGTATGGAGCGACACTGACCTCTACTGGCCATATGACATGTGTGCATTCAGTGAACTGGCCTTGACCTGAAATATACAGCGCTCAGCATAAATGAGTTCACCCCTAAAAGAGAGCAGATCTTTCTTTTAAGTTTGTATTATCTGTAGGATGCTTTACAATAACATATATATGTGGATATACCTTAGATTAGTCAGTAGCAAAGCCGAAACTGCAACTAATCTAACAGAGACTGAAGATCACAGCCCAAAAATTAGCACACCCAAATTAATATGTTGGGGAAAAATATTAAATAAAATTGTAACAAGCAGGAAAAATCAAGAGAAATATAAAACATACCACACTTGACATTTCAATATTTTTGTTTTTGCAATAGCGTTTGAATTTTTATGTATTATCGTTATGTATTATATCTGTATTATCTGTCTATTCCTAAAGATGTTACGTTTTCTCAGAATTTTTTAAATAAAACGTTACCATTTAGGATTTTTTTTTTTTACATCATAAAAAATAAGTGGACAATTTTCAGACATGTTTATATTTATTTCTTAGACAACACGAGACTGGAACTTCATTAGGGAAAAACTAATATTTAAAAAAAAATTAATAACCTTGATTTAAATCACAAGAAATGAAAAGAATCTGTAATTATGATCAATTAACACTTTCTTGGGGAAAATAAAATGTCCTCTAAAATGACAATATACCTTGAAAATATAGAGAAACTAAACGTCAAGTAGTTTTTAACTTTTTTCATAAAAACAATATTATTATAAAATATTATTATAAATTAAAATGACTATTTAAATGACGATTAAATGTTTACATTTGTGTTTTGAATTTGTTATTATTTTAATACATTTTAATTGTAATACATTTTTAATACATTTTTAAATTTAATGTAAAAAAATATTTTTAGTAAGTCTTATAATTCTTCAGAAATTCCTGAAGTCTGTTGATTTGCTCAAGAATTATGTATTATTATTATTATTAATATTATTAGCAGTAGTAGTAGTAATAGTAGTAGTAGTAATAATAATAGTAATAGTAGTAGTAGTAATGATAGTAGTAAAAGTAGTAGTAGTAACAATAAGTAGTAATATCAGTAGTAAAGATAATAGTAATGCTAGTAGTAATAGCAAAAGTAATGATAGTAGTAGTAGTAGTAATCTTAGTAGTAATAGTAATAATAATAGTAGTAGTAATGATAGTTGTAGTAGTAGTAATAATAGTAATAAAGTAATAATAATAATAATAATATTTTATGATGATCATCATCATTATAGTTAAATCAATTCTACTGCTCAGTTTTTTTGGAAACTGTGATGCTTTTTTATTTAAGACGAAGATTAAAATAACAGCTAAATAAATAACAGGAAATTATTTGTAAGTCTTCACTAAATTTAGTTCGTCTTTGCTGTGACCCCAAAACATGCCAGATGCCAGCAGTAGCGTGCACACATGATATACAAGCGCTGATGCTGATGTTGTGTCCTTCAGGAGGCCTTACACAGAGAGCAGATGCTGGAGCAGAAGTTGGCCACACTGCAGAGGCTGCTGGCCAGCACACAGGAGGCGTCAGAGAGCAGCTGGCAGGTACATCACATGTTAATGAAGACAGCACAATTAATATGTGACCACAAAACTATGCATAAGGGTCACATTTCTTACCCTTTATACATTTACATTTATACATGAACTGAATGCTATAAACGTATTAAACAAACTTATAATCATTCTGAAAAGCGTGGTGTGCTCTGATTGGCCAACTATCCAGTGTGTTGTGATTGGCCAAAATACCTCAAGCGGAAATGTCACACCCCTTACAGTATTTTAAATATTAACTTTCAAAGCAATACTGCATAAAGGAATAAGTTATAAGGCTGTTATTGGTTTTATAACTAGTAACACGGCATCTCCATGACATATGACTTATAGTTTCATCAAAAATGCTGAAGTGAGAATAACAAATCTGCATTCCCTTTTTGTGTATGCATTTAGGGTGTGTTTGGACCATCTTTCCATTGATCTTTGTAGATTTGCTGGTTTGAAGGACGCATTGTAGGAATGTGTGGATCATTCTTACCATTTATAAAGAATATGTCTTTGCATTGGAAAGTCCACAAAGCTTATTAATGCACAAACGGGCTTGTAACACTTGAACGTCAAAAGAAAGCATAAAGCATCATGTGACCCCTTTTGTCATTCAATACATATATGTTGAGTGCTATTAAGCATCCTATGTTACAATGATGACTGCTTATTCCATGATTATTCTTTTTATAAAGATAACAACAGTGTTTTTTTTTTACTCTACAGGCTTTAATCGATGAGGACCGGTTGCTCTCCAGATTGGAGGTGATGGGGAACCAGTTGCAAGCGTATTCCAAAGTAAGGCTAATTTCGGCTTTGAGTGCTTCTAGAAATATCGTTCGTGTTCATGACTGTGTGCTGTTTCCTCAGAACCAAACAGAAGACGGTATCCGAAAGGAGCTTGTTGCCTTAACAGAGGACAAACATAATTATGAGACGACAGCCAAAGAGTCCCTGAGGCGGGTCCTTCAGGAGAAGATCGAGGTGGTCAGGAAGCTGTCTGAGGTCGAGGTAAAAACCTGATCCTTGTATTAAATGTATTAGATTAATTAAACTGATCATTTTGATCCTAAAGTATGATTTTTAATAACCTGAGATTCCACAACACATCTGAATGATGACATGAGAAAGAGGGAAAATATTGTTGGGACCACTTTCAGACTGTAAAAATCGTTTTATTTACGCTTTTGAATTGCATTATAGGTGCTGATATCAGTGATGATTCAGAAATTATTCTATTTTGCTGATCTGACACTTAAGAACTATTCATTAATGCACATTTTAAAGGGCCATGAAACCCCCTCGTTTCAGCAGGGTGTTTTCACACCTCTACTTTGGAAAAAAAAGTCAAAAAAGTGGGCGTGTCCAGATCTGTTTAGGGGGGAGTGTCGGAGGAAGAAAAGAGGCTTGGTGTGGGAGTGTCTATTTCGGCGCGCTGAGTTTCAGAGTCAAAACACACACACACACACACTAGGGTTGTAACAATATACCGGTATGACGGTCTACCACGATTTGAACGTGCACGATTATCATACCATGAACAATTGCATATCAACGGTTTTAACCCTTAAAGACCGAGACAGCCGCCCGCGGCTAAAAATAAGTATTGCTCTTAAATGTTTAATAACTTTTGATCCGCTGATCCGATTCATACAATTCAAAGATTGGCATAAAGAAGAGAATCTCAGCTTTCCAGTGCTGTATCACATAACATTCGCGGACTTTCAGAGGCTCCGGAATCAGTGTGGTTACGTCATCAAAATTTGACAACGCTGACTTGACAAAGAAACGCTCGTCACTGTGTCTCCGGACAAGCCAGACATGATACATTGATGCATTGTCCCTCCTCCATGCCCAGATTGGTTCAAACTCGCTATATCACAACCAATAAGCATAGGTTTCACTTTTGTTTGTGGACCAAGCTTTTTTAACAACACGGAATGAGAGATAGGCATACATTTATGCGCGGCTAAATAAAACGCAAAAAAGAACGTTTTTCATGAAATAATTCTCATACTAAGTACTTTTGCATGCACAGCAGCACAGAAACATGACAAAACAGTGACACAGCAAAGACGAACTGCTGCTCTTGCTGTTTTCAAAAGACGCAAATGAAGGTGCAGCTGTTTGTCTGCATTGCAGACATCCATATCCAAATCCATATCCACAGACAACCATATCCATGCTGACACATAAAACCTAAGGATGTTCCATATTGAATCTAGTTTTGTTATGTAACTATTTATAGTATAGTAAATATTTATATCTATTTTTTTACTGAAGATTTGCACCATGTTTATTTGGACTTTATTTGGACTTTGACACATTATTTATTATTTTCTTATTTTTTTATTTGTTCATTGTAAGTGGTGTTGTTTATAGTAACTGAAAATATATTATTTGGAAAAAGTCAAATTTGCTTCACTGTTCTATTATTTTGTAACATTTGTAACATACCGTATACCGCGAAACCGTCAAACCGTGGTATTGTTTTAGACGATTATCATACCGTATCATACCGTAACACACACACACGGGAGAAAGTGACTGTGTTTACATGGACATCTGTAGTCGAATTATTTGCCAAATTATTAAATGGTGGACTTTAACTGCAGTTTGGCTCTTTCATTCAGGGAATTCATTCATGCCTCTCGCGACAAACGAGACATTTGATTCGAGGAGCTGCTCTAAGCGTGTATTTTTCATGCAATGTTTGATACCGCACGGCGAATGAGAGAAAAAAAAAACTCAGCATTTCCAGGAAACTTGAGATGCACACGGCAGGTAGCATCAGAAAGCCGCGTGTGTTATTCCGGTCACAAAATGCGGTGAAAATCCTACACGAGGTTATAGTTAGGTTGTAACTGTTAGTGCTAACATGTTTACAATCGGTGCAATAGTTAGTTTGATACGAATAAAATACGAACTGAATAAACAAAGAGCACTGGTCGGTCACTTACCAAATCTGTAGAGACAGGACAATCACCAGCAACTAGAGCCGCGTCCTTTTTAAAAGAAGACTACAAACGAATCCGGATCTCAGCGTTTGCAGATGAGAACAGCTCTCAGGTAAACAATAATCCTCCTTAGACACGTAAGTTATTGTTGTCGAGCGTCGCGTACACTTAATCCACACGTGACTCCAGCTGAGCTCTCACAGAGAGAAAATGGAAACAAAACTTAACTGCAGCAAACTATAAAAGCAACACTTCATGCTTGTTTTGCCAACACAAAACAACAACTCTGTCATCTAAACACTGTGACAGTAATGAATATTAATGAAGTTGCACAATAGAGCGCGCTGATTGGTTTGAACCAAGCCATACTCATGCATTAATGCATCACACTGTAAGACGTAATAAGACTCACTCAGGCACAGACGCCCAGTCTGCACGCTGGAATACACGCTATTATGTCATGACCGTGACGCAGCTTCAAAAATTCGTTTCAAACCGGAAGTACGAATTTGCTCGAAATAACGCAAAAACAACCAATTTACACTTTTTAGTGAAATATAGGTGCCCTAGTAGTGTTTTTAGCAGACATGCGACTGTCAACAGCTCAAAAAATGTGTTTTGGTGTTTCGTGACCCTTTACGTGTTTGCGTAGGGATTTAACCATGGTAAAAGAGGTTTTAGACTTGCTCGGTGATATGCATCATCATTGGTCTGTTTTTGTCTTGCAGAGGAGTTTGAGTAACACAGAAGACGAGTGCACACACCTGAGAGAGATGAACGAACGCACACAGGAGGAGCTCAGAGAACTCGCCAACAAATACAACGGAGCCGTCAATGAAATCAAGGATCTGACAGAAAAGATCAAGGCATGTCTGTTGGTGCACATTAAACCTGACTTAATTAATTTTGATTCAGTTCAAGTTGACTTGTACATCGCTTTTCACAACTATTATTGTTCCATGTTATTACATTTAAGAACAAACGCAGAAAAGGTGTTGTGTTTAGGTTGAACTCTACAGTTATCTACGGTGGCCGAGAAGTGCAAAACAACATTACAAACACTTTTACAAAGCTCGAGACAAATTTACATTTTGAAAAACATTTTTACCTGTCATCAGACACAATTACAGAGGAAAAACAATTTTACCAAGGACGAAACAAATTTACAATTTAGAAAACAAACTAACAAGATGCAAAACACTTTTACAAGTCCCGAAACAAATTGACGATTACAGATTTCTTACGGAAAGGGAATGTACCACACACCGGTAGTGACGCGGGGGAAAGTTGTTGTTGGTGAGCGCGGTAAATTCGCGCTGTGGTGTACATGACGTAAACAAAGTTTATGGTGACCGAACATGGACAGCGGTGGAGGGTTGTTTTGCCCGTTTTGTGGCAAACAAGCTTAACGCGGTTTTGCTTTACGTGTGGTTGGTGTTTGGAGTTTATAAAGGACGCGGACCAGACGGAAACACCAGACATAATCCATCAATGTGTTCAATATTTTAACGAGATCCACTCGTACACTGTAATCGTGAACATGATGTCAAGTCTACACGGTGTAAACATCTGCTTGAGGACTCTTAACAGTAAACTGAATGAAGCCTGTGTTATGGTTTATCTTGTGTCCGTGTTAACCGAGGCCCTTTTTCAGATGTGCAAACTAATGTTATCTACGTTTGCAGATTGGCAGATTCGTCACTTTTTCACAGCAACAAAACATGCCCATTCCGAATAAAGAGTCTTATTACTTGTCAGTGTAAACATTATTGATTTTAATGTTTGTGTAGCAGAACAGTATATAACCAAAATGAATGTAATCATTATAGTTGACATGTCATCAACGGGATTCGAACCCAAGTCAAAAGGTTCTGCACGAGCATCAACCGACTTCTCTATCTAAGCTACTCGCGTCTACAGGTTGAGATCGGTTTTCCTTGTTTACATTTTTTCCATGTACTTGCATTTACATGTTTCTACACACTCTCATGCTGATATTAAATCAGAATAGCTCTAATATGTTTTATCGCAGTTAGTCAAGCCATGATTTTTATAGTTGAAGACTTGTGGAAACCTGTCTACAAAGTCACACACGAGCTGGATATTATAGGGTATATGCCGAGCTAGTGCTGTTCCCATTCTGATACACTTCCGGTGACCTGTTATTGTGAACTTTTTTCCATTTTATACGGTTCCTTATACAGCATCGATGTTGTAATGTCATTAAAATACATTCAGTTAAATAAACTTTAGCATTTATGTGGTTGCTCAAGCGTAAAACGAGACAAAAAGCTGTTTACTCACACACGCCTGTCAGAATCGGCAGGCTAACGCAGAAGCTCCATTGAATATACTGGGGTAAAATAAATGCTCATATTATAAAGATATGGCAGGGGAGATGTAATTTAATGCAGTGCTTCTTGTACAATCTGAGACCCACTTTAAATCAGATACCAATCAGCTTGTGGAGATCGCTCATTTTTAAAGAAAACAGACCTTAAACGCACCGGATTTTGCATTGGCATTCAATTCGCCGGAAACGCTTAACCCAGGTTACTGGCAAATTAAAAATCCTATTAGCATGCTTCGGCATATACCCCATTGATATTTTCTAGTGTGTGTTACATTCCGGGTCACTTCCGGTGTGGTACATTCCCTTTCCGTAAGAAATCTGTAATTGTCAATTTGTTTCGGGACTTGTAAAAGTGTTTTGCGTCTTGTTAGTTTGTTTTCTAAATTGTAAATTTGTTTCGTCCTTGGTAAAATTGTTTTTCCTCTGTAATTGTGTCTGATGACAGGTAAAAATGTTTTTCAAAATGTAAATTTGTCTCGAGCTTTGTAAAAGTGTTTCAAACGTTGTAATGTTGTTGTGCACTTCCTCGGCCACCGTAGTTATCAAGCATAGTTACACATTACAATTTACTTCGTTCAGTTGGCGGAGGATAAACATGAGGAGCTCACACAGAAAGGCCTGAACGAGAAGAAGGAGCTGCAGATGCGGATCGAGGAGATGGAGGAGAAGGAGCAGGCGCTTCAGGCCCGAATCGAAGCTCTGCAGGCTGACAACGACTTCACCAATGAGAGACTGACAGCTTTGCAAGGTAAAACACGATGTCTGTTGTTGCTCGCGCTGGCTTGAAAACGCACACATTCGTTTCTTGGTAACTACAAGGATGAGTGAGGTTGAGGAGGAGCATCTTTCAGCTTTTAATTTCTGGTCATCCCGAATGTTTTCGTTGTCACTTTGCAGTCCGGTTAGAGCAGCTGCAGGAGAAAAGCATAAAGGAAAACAACAGTTTTGGTGAGTTGGCGACGCATGTGTCTGCTAGTGTGCTGCTAACCTCGCATCTCCTCTGACTAATTCAGCATGGGAGCTCGCCTTCGGTTGCCTTGTTTTTCACCTTTATTTCCGTCCCTTCTTTCTTTCTGTCTGGCTTTGCTTCTGTTTTGACCTGTTCTGTCTCGAAGGCCTTGATCTTCTGCATTGAGCATGTGTGTTTAAGTTTACTCCACTGCATACAGTCTAGGAATGACATTTAAAGGGAACCCAGGGTATTAAAGGAGTGATGGTTCAGCTACAAATGTGATTTTCTCACTATTTACTCATCCTCATGTGGTTTAAGAGTTTATGTTGTTCTGTTAAACACAATAGAAGGTATTTGGAAGAAACTGACATCCTGTAACCATTGACTTTCATACAACCCCAAATCAGAAACGTTGGGACAGTACGGAAAACGCACATAAACTAAGGGATTTCTAAATTTACTTTGACTTGTATTGCAGACAATTTAACAAACATTATTTATTGTGTTCCTTATGTTTATTTAAAAAAAAACATAAAGAAAATCATATTCCTATGTTGGTTCTTGCAACACATTTCAAATAAAGTTGGAACAGTAAAGCATTTAAAAGACGTTTAGAGACTGAAGTGATGAAATGTTTCAGGTGTAATGTTGTCCTATTCTTCCTGCAAACAAGTTTTACGGTGGGCAACAGTACAGGGTCTTTGTTATCACATTTTGTGCTTCAAAATGCACCACACATTCTCTATTGGAGACAGGTTGGTACTGCAGACAGGCCAGTAGGTTATCTGTATCCTCTTCCTCCGCAGCCAGGACTTTATGTATGCAGTATGTGGTTTTGCATTGTCTTGTTGAAATATGCATAGGTTTCCCTGGAAAAGAAGGGAACATATTGTGCTCCAAAATTCCAGCATTAATGGTGACATCACAGAAGTGCAAGTTACCTCTGCCAAGGGCATTGACACAACCCCACACCACAACAGTCCCTGGCTTTTACACTGTTGACAGTCTGCATAATCCTTTTTTTCTTTGATGCGGAGCACACGGCATCCATTTCTCCTAAAAAATACCTAAAATTCTGATCCTTCTGACCACAGTACATGTTTACACTGTGTGATGGTCCTTTCCTGATGCCTTAAAGCTCATAGAAGTTGACTGCGCTTCTGGACACTGTTAACATAGGGCTTCCTTTCGGAATAGTACAGTTTTCACAGGTGTGTGGATGTAACTATGTGTTGTGGTACTTCAGAGATCAGAGTTGTTCAGCTTATGCCGAGTTCAGACTGCATGATTTTCAAAGTAATTATGTCACAGATGTCTGCACACCACATGACTACCTGGGCTAGTGTTTCGTCGCTGTTTTGTTTACACTGCAAGATGTATCGACGGCAAGGGGTTTCACACTGCTTGACTTTACAGTAGGAGGAATCGCTGACAACTTTGGCCAAACTACATTTCACAACCAAACATGCGAGAACTGACATGGACACAACGCGAGGTCACATAGTATATATTTTGTTATTAACTACATAATGAGAAAAAAGCCTTTAGTGGGGCAGAAAATTTACATCTTTTCTCACCTGTGTTTGAAGGGAATTAGCAATTTCTCCTTAACTTTCTTTTTTTTGACTCGGTTGTGATATTGCTCAGATGATGCGTCAAACCAAAATGTGTGCAGCTGTCAAATTAGCACTAGTTTTCCTGCAATTCTTGGGTCCAAATAAACTGAAAATGAGCGCTTTTAACTTCTCCCTCAACCTCCCGCTGGCCTGCAGATACCCTCACTAGTGAATGCTGCTCTCTTATTGGCTGTAGGTGATCGCTGATGTTATTTTCAGTCAAAACTCATTTCACATGGCATGATTTAATTTGCCGACAGCTCCAGATATTCAGCACGCCAAATATCTCACGGACATTGGCGACTCATCTGCGATTATTTCAGATCGCGTAATTTGATAGTTCATAGTGTGTGATTGTTACTTGCGTGAATGAGCACCGATTTGCCTGTGATTTCAGGCATTTGTCAGTGATTTCTCAACCTGCTGGCGAGTCAAAATCGGGGCTAAAATCACGCCGTCTGAACTCGGCATTAAGCTTGCACTCTTGTCCTTTATCCACTGAAATTCCTCCAGACCCCTTGAATCTTTTAATTATGTTATGCACTGTTGAAAGTGAAATATCTGAATGTCTTCCTATGTTTCTTTGAGGAACATTGTTTTTCATTCATTCATTCATTTTCTTGTCAGCTTAGTTCCTTTATTAATCCAGGGTCGCCGCAACAGAATGAACCGCCAACTTATCCAGCAAGTTTTTACACAGCCGCAACCCATCTCTGGGAAACATCCACACACACATTCACACACACACTCATACACTACGGAAAATTTAGCTTACCCAATTCACCTGTACCACATGTCTTTGGACTGTGGGGGAAACCCATGCGAAAGGAAGGGACAACATGCAAACTCCACACAGAAATGCCAACTGAGCCGAGGATCGAGCCAGCGACCTTTTTGCTGTAAGGCAATTCTATCAAGTGTTTGTTGGCAAACTGGCGATCCTCGGCCCATCTTTGCTCCTAAAGCACTGGACCTTTCTTGGATACTGCTTTTGTACCAAACAATAATTAATCACCTGTTTCAGATCACATCATTTATCTAATTTACCCGATTACTAGTCCTAAATTCCTCCTGTCTAAACGTTTTTTGAAATGTGTTGCAAGAGTTAAGATTGAAATGCATGTTTATTTTGGAAAAAAAACCTATAAAAATCACACATTAAATAGTGTTTATTGTGTTGTCAGCATTGAAATACAAGCCAAAGTAAATTTAGAAATGATTAGCATTTTCCATTCTGTCCCAACCTTTTCTGATTTTGGGTTGTAAAACATACTATGGGAGTCAATGGTTGCAGGTTTCCAGGGGCCTCATGTATCAACGCTGCGTACGCACAAAAACTTTGCGTACGCCAGGTTTCACGCTCAGAATCGCTCACGTTTGGATTTACTAACAATAAACTGAACGTGGGAATGTGCGCAGCTTCACGGCAGCTTTCTGGCTGGCGTACGCACATTTTTTGTGCGTGTCTGTTTTATTTCCATTGGCGACTCCTAGAGGCAGTTGTGTTAAATTCCTCTCTACAAAGTGTCTGAGCCTTGCAATGGCAGCTGTATGAGACGGGTTCAGCAGGTATATAAGGTTTCCATACCATACATTTGACCAGCTAAACATTATAAAGCACAATTTGCAGCAGTCGCCTGTTTTCCCAATGTAATCTGAGCGATCTACCGCACGCACATTGCTATAAAGACACTATCTGAAGATGAATTTGCATGCGTGAATCAGAAACATTTCCATTCAATAAATGTGCAAATAAAATATGATGCTTATTGATATGAAGTTATTGATTATTCCTACTTGTCTTTCTCGTGATAAATAGTTGGCAAAATCTGATATGTAGCGGGGCAAAAAATAAGAGTTTATCAGACGCTGGATTCGAGCCGAGTTCATGCTCGAACGTATCAATTCATGATCACATGCGTCTTACAAGTAGCGCCACTGAGACTGTTAAACGTCTTGCAACATTTTACAGATATAAACCACACTATTTCTTTATTTTAATGCACTCAGTGCGATGTTCAGACCCAATTGTGTTAACCGCATCAGCTAAACTCTCCCACTCTATTTTTTTCTTTTGTTGTTAATTCCGGAGAACAAACTTGCAAATAACACCGCTTTTCTCCGGTCTACCTCCGAAAGCAGCACCTCCAATTCACATTCTGTTCAAAGTTTCTCTTTTTGCTTGCTTTTGCCGTTGCTTTTTCGTTGGGTTTTGCCATTAGCATAGTCATTAGCATATTCATATGGGGGAGGAGGCAGGAAGGGTTTTGTGCTCGTGCATGTTGCGCTCAGTTTCACGTTCATTCAGATGTACAAAAGAATATGCGTGAGATTCGGCGTACGCAGTGTTTCATACATCTGAATTTTTTTCTGCGTACGCACATTTACAGCTTTGTGCGTACGCAATGTTTTAGTAAGATTTCCACGCAAGTCTTCGTACATGAGGCCCCAGCTTTCTTCAGAACATCTCTTGTGTTTAACAGAATAATGTCAAATAGGTTTTAAAGAAGCAGAGAATGAGTAAACAATGGCAGAATTTTCATTTTTGTGTGAACCGTCCCTTTAAGGAATACAAGCCTTAATACCCAGGACTCTCTACAAATTTGTCTCTCCTCATTTGGTCGTTTGTCACCAAGTTTTCCCTGTGAGCTTTTTTTACTTAGTATACATGAAGAAAGGTGTCTCTAAATCAGTTTTGCTGTCAACTGGTTGGCCTTTTTAGTTAGTTATTCTAGATGCTTTCAGGACTTTGACTCATTTTAATCTGCTACGTTGCTAATAATTGATTTAATGTCATTAGTCGGTGTTTAATTAGGCTTGGCACTTAACTCTGCAGGATTATCCATTGTGTCTTTTGTGGTTAGCACACAGCAGGGCACTATGCTTTGAAATGGAGCTCAAGAATTGCTTGGTGATTTACATTTCTCGTGCAATAATATAATTAGCAACATCTCAGAAATGAAACTACTGATGTGGTGCGCCACACACCACAAACCTCTTGGCAGAAGCACACCTCTCTCTTTCTTTTAATAGTTGATTTTTATAAAATGTGCTGATATCAAGAATTATTAGGATAGCGTAATGTGTTTTTTCCCAGTAAGAACTTTGTAGAGAACATCAGCCTGTGCAAATCTGACACTGACTGAAAATTAAGTCTTTTCTCTTATTTATTGCCAGTATTTGTGGTTTTTAACCACCAGAGATGTGCATGTCAGTAAGATTTTTTTTTACTGTAAGCATAGTTGTACGCTACCTGACAAAAGTCTTGTTGTAGAAGCAACAATAATAACTTGACTTCTAGTTGATCATTTGGAAAAGTGGCAGAAGGTGGATTTTTCTGATGAATCATCTGTTGTTCTGCATCCCAATCATCACAAATACTGCAGAAGACCTACTGGAACCCACATGTACCCAAGATTCTCACATAGATCAGTCAAGTTTGGTGAAGGAAAAATCATGGTTTGGAATTAAATTCAGTATGAGGGCATGCGAGAGATCTGTAACATCCACAGCCTGAGGTATCAAGACATTTGTGCTGCCCATTACATTACAAACCACAGGAGAGGGACAATTCTCCAGCAGGATAGCGCTCCTTCTCATACTTCAGCCTCCACATCAAAGCTCCTGAAAGCAAAGGTCAAGGTGCTCCAGGATTGGCCAGACCAGTCACCAGACATGAACATTATTAAGCATGTCTGGGGTAAGATGGAGATTAAAGATGAACCCAAAGACTCTTGATGAACTCTGGGAGTCCTGCAGGAACGCTTTCTTCACCATTCCAGATGACTTTATTAATCAGTGATTTAAGTCATGTCAGAGATGTATGGATGCAGTCCTCCAAGCTCATGATGGAGTCAGACACAATATTCATTCTGTCTACACTGCAGCAGGACTTTATATTCTATACTGGACATTATTTCTGTTCAGTCACAAGACTTTTGTCTAAGCAGAGTCAGACCTTACTGTCCTGATGAAATATTTAAAAATCAAGGCATGATCATATTTTATTGTGGTCAAATAAGCATCATCTAGAGGCCTTTGCCTTTCATATAAGCCACTTCTGACCCCAAATGATCAACTAGATGTCAAGTTATTATTTGTTGCTCCTAAAACTTGGATAGCCGACCAGATTTTTGTCATGGTAGTTGTATTGAGAGGTAACTGTTATAGTATTCAGCCTGATGGGAAAAACTTTCTCGGATGAATATTAGTTTTTATAAAGTTATTTTTACTTCATTGCATTTGATAATTTTATGATTTTTTTTAATAAAAGGTTTTCTATGCGTGTAGAGTAATGCACAATTTTGGAAAAAATTTATATTCAAATAAATTACAGGGTTTGGAGAAAACTGGAATTGCACCTTTTCTGATTAATCATAGTATTGTGGAATAAAAGTAATTTACATTTCTTTACATTGAAGTTCACATTAGTGAATTCATTGTGAGTTCACATTATTGTATTATTAGATTAAGTAAACAGTGTTAACATTGTGGGTATGATCCTTTACTGTAAAATAAACAAAAAACTACTAAATATTTAAGATAATAACATAATTTTAGTTTAAAAATACTGATAATTGTCTTCTATTTTTTTAGTTTTTAAATTATTGCTAAACGATAATTCACTCTTTAAAGGGTATTTAAAATATTTTCAAAATATATTTAAAATATTTTCATACAAATTCATTATTTCAAAAACAAAATCATGTATTTTAAGAAAATAATGTCATTTTTATTTTTTACAAATTTAAAATTACAATAGAAATATTTATGGCTTCCTTTGTTTTAAAAAGATTTTATTTAAAAGAGTCCAAGCTTAATATAATTAATAACAAAAAGTAAAATAAAACAATATATTATTTTTAACTAATATTAATTTGCAGTGATCTGCTTAATGAGTTAAAAAAAGTATAAACTTAAGTGGAATACTATACAGAAACATAAATCTTGATTAGCATCAGACCTCAGTGTCCCAGTGGTGACCTGTAATTGACAGCTGTCAGTCATTGATGAGCAGCTCCGTGATTGGCTGCAGTCTACCATCTGTGTCCTTCTCCCGCCTTTTGCATCTCTGTTTGGTTTCGTCTCATATTGTGTCCTGTAGATCTGGCTTATGTTTTTAATTTCACCCGATGCCCCTCGACGTGGCATTTCTTCCATCTGCTGTTCATTTAATGGAGGGTTTTTCTTTCTTTGGTAGACCACTTTCTTTTAAAGAGTGGAGGAGACTGCACTTTAATCCAACAGTACATTGAGTGTCAATGTGAGTACACAGCATTCTTTCAAACGCCTTCCACAGCTGTACTAATGAACTATATTATTATTATTATTATTATTATTAATCGGCATTATTAACGCAGGGAGCAGTTATTTCTGTTTTACTTTTGTAGGTTTTTTTTACACTGAGTTGCAGAGCGCAGCTAATTTTATTTCTGGTGTTGTGGCAAAAATAATGAAATTAGTTTGATCAGTAGAAATTTGTGCTGTCAAAATATAAATAGTGATTAATCCCATCCAAAAATGCTTGTATTGACATAATATATATATATTTGTACTGTGCATATTTGTTTTCTGTGTATAAATGAGCAATATCACACGAATAGCAGTGAGATATGGCTGTATATTGGCCCTGGTGCGAGGCATGCGTTGATGCCTTAGTGTCCCACCAGTGATGATATACAGCCATATCGCACTGCTACTCATGTAATACTGCGTTATATATATTTTATATATCATGTGTATAAAAAAAATCAAACACAGAGAGTCTAAAGGCTCTTTTGAATAAGGAACTACTTTCTTCCACCCTTCTTTCACATCTGCAGCTGACATCAGAAAGGCAGAATCCTTTACCAATCCATAAACGTCATTTCAGAACTAGTGTTTGAACGATTCTCTAGCGTAATGTCTAAATTGATGACAAAACAGGCGATTTTGCTCACATTTTAAGAATATAAGGACGAACGTGACATGATATGCTATCAGAGATTTCATAGTATTTCTCTCTTAACCCCAAAAAATCCAAAGCAATGCAAACACTAGCAGATTACTATGGTATAAATACAGCACTACAACATAAAAAAGAGAGAGATCGACTTAGAATGTCACTTACTTGTTTTATAATGATTTAATCAGCTGAAGTTTGAAATGCGAAAAGAAAACAAGTACTTATGCGCTCTCTGACGCCATCTTGTGGCGCAATCATCATTACTCTGCTTAGTTTGACAGGGTGACGGCCGCCAGTCTCCGAAATTAAACCTATTTAAAATAGGCACTGTCCTTATAAATAAACTGCATAGTTGCAGTATAAACCACCACATTCCCGCCTAAAAAGACTCAAAAGTATATTGTTGTCCAACAGCTGCAATATTTGTCCAAACTGTAGTGAGTTTATTGATCTGCTGTCGCTCCTTGTGGGTGTGTAATACACAAAGGTGAAGAGGCTGTTATTGCAGAATATCGCACGGGTATCAGCCAATCATATTCGAGAACCAGACAGAACTGTTTAATAAATGTAAATACACACACACACGTTTGTGTGTGTGTGTGTACATGTGTATGTACTATGTACATGTGTATATGTGTATATTTAAATTTTTTTTTAAAAATGATGTCTTATTAATTATATATAAATATGCAAATATTTTGGTTTTGTATTTTATGTTTTATTTCTGTATACACAATATTTATACCCAGCACACAAGCATTATGTAAATATAAATGTTTATTTTAGATACAATTAATCACGATTAATCATTTGACAGCACTAATTTATATCCATATTTGGTTAATCAGTATTATATTGCGAAGTGTTGTTGTAAATGTTGTTTTTAAGAGTATTTTGCACCGTTAAATCTTTGTAAATAGCAATTCAAAATGGAATAAATTCCCTGTATTAATCAAATTCATAGATGACTTCCTCACTGACTCACGATCATGAGTCATTATTTCTAGCTTTCTTTCAAAATGAATTTTCTCATTCAAAATGAATTAGGACCTTCAGTTATTTGTACAACAGACTTACTAGACTGATTAAAAATCATTAAATATGCCGAACTTGTATTGTAATAAAGTAATAAATAATATAATATTTATTGCGCAGTGTACCCAGGCCTGCTTGTGAGATTTGAAAGTGGTTAACATTTTTTAAAGCTCAAATAAAAGCAACTTTTGCACATTGTTGTCAGGATGTTATATGCATATTTGAGTTATTTAGTGATTTGTAAACTTACTAATGGATGAAAATCTGGTGAAATGTTGCCTTTTTCTGACTTTTTACAGCGGATTGTAGTAGTATTGTTATTTGTGTGTGATTTGATTTATTCTTCATCATATGTTAGTTGTGGTTTGATCTTTCTGGAGTAAATTCAATTCAAGAGGGTGTTGTGTATGAAAACACAGTATATACTGTGTAACAAAGTGGCCGTGAGTGCACTCAGGATTCAGTATCACAATTATTTGCTGTGTAATCAAGAATCTGTACGACTAGATTGGTTCATAAGCGCTCCCTGATATTCATATGATCTCTCAGTAGCGAAGTAAATATTCTTCCCCAAATGCGACATGGATTATTAATGAAAACACTCTGCATGCCGTCTGTTCTGACTTCACCTCCAGCTGACTTGGATTTTCTCTATTTTCTGGGATATTCACTCTCACCAGCATGTGATTTGAGCTCTTGAGTTTCCACTGATGCTTTTCATGCCGTTTTTGCTTGGTTCTGTATGTATGGGAAATACTGCAAATGCAGTTTTGTTGCTGCTAATACTGAATTCAATTCGGCTGCATCAGTGTCCTGTAATAACTGAGTAATAATGTTTTAATGACTGCGTTAGGGATTGTATACTGACATGGCACTTCTCTTTTTTTTAAACCAGCGGTGCGCCAGCTGAAGGAAGCTGTGGACTCTTCCATTAACAAGCTGTCCAACTTTGATGGTAAGAGAACAGATTTTGTTTTTATTATTAAAGAGCCCCTATTTTGCATTATCAAAGGTCATATTTTGATTTTGGGGGTCTCCAACAACAGGCTGATGTGCATACAAGGTCAAAAAACACTTTCATTATCTTATAATATGCATTTATTTTTAATTATCCCAGCGACTCCCATATGATTCGTTCAGTGATTCATTTGTTCCCAAACCCCTCTTTAGCGCGATGCAAATCTGTGCTGATTGGTCTGATGACCCAGTATATTGCGATTGGTCGACTGCATTTAGCGTGAGACAGAGAGAAAACCCCACCATGGCTTTTCAACAATTTTAAGTAGTCAAAGTGCAGAGTGTATGTGTGAACCTAATGCAGTAGTGCATTAAAGCAGTGCAGTTTAACCACTTCATTCTTAACCGCGACACACATTCGGTGGCAAAAGCTGAACTATTCTGAAACTTGACCGCTGCATGTCTGTAGCAATGACTGTAAAAAAAATATGGACGACGCAACAGCCCTTTTTCCCATTGAACGCCTTGAGGGCAAAACGCCTGCTTGACGGGCACAAACTGTCGCAAAAGACTGCTGAAATTGGAGCCAGACATGCGCAGAAGGATTTTCTGATGGAGCCAGAGGAGGAGCCGCGAAAATGAGCAGAGTCGAGCTTCCAATCAAACACTTAATGTAAAATCAACCACGCCCCCCGAACTTCTCAGCATGCGTTTGCTGTCATATCAACACAAATGGATGTAATAACGTTAACAAATATGAGGGTTTTATATATTCAATCGCGCCAGCTCCAGGCCGCAGCGCATAACTTACTCGCGGCGTCGCGGGCTGATTCCGGCTCGCATGCGGCAGCGCCTGCTCGCTCGGCCGCCGCATCTGGCTCGATTGACTCGGGCTGGAATTGGGTAGTGAGTCCAGGCATCCGGAGTAGGTCCAGCAGAGGTAACGTTAGTCAGTCTGAGCTCTAAGAGATAAGTCTCCGGCAGGCGAGAATCTAGCCAGGACTGTGTTTTGCTATCTGGGTGGTTAGGCGTGTATCAGCAAACTAATAAAGCCCGAAAAAAGCCCTGAACTTAGCGAATAAACAGTGTTCCACCAGGATCATGTATGTCAGAAACTATAGTTTACTGCTGAACTCATTTTGTCATGGTAAAATAACACAGAAATCGAATAATAACATTTCAGTCTACTTCAGTCTCCTGCCGAAGCTCAGACGCCGCGCTTTGAGAAACTGTCAATCACAGCTGTCAATCACGATGACACGCCCAGCATTAAATTACTGCTAAAAACAAACTGTTTACAAAAATGAAGATCTGCACCTATTTCAGCACAATAACCAGTGCCTTAATCCACCAGAACTATCGTTCGGGACATTTTATTGCAAGTGTAATATTTTTTTTTATTTGGGCTCAAGTCTCCTTCATTAACACGGAGGAGGCGGGCTTTATGACTTGTACTGCAGCCAGCCCCCAGGGGGCGATCTAACGGCCGAGACCCTCACTCAAACGTAGGCTTGCGGCACACTTGGTCTGTAGAAACAGCAGACTGTGGCCATAACAACTGAGGAAACAAGCCAGGTTCAAAACTAAAGTCTTGGTGTGAAAGCACCCTAACAATTATATATTCTTGCATCAAAAACAATATATATGACAAACACAAATAAAAATATATAATAATAATAAATAATAATATTAATAAAATGATACATAAAATGACATTATAGATGAATGTAACACACATTAGGCTGTACAACAATACAGAAAATATACTCCTTAGTTGTGCTTTCTTACAATCAGTGTTTAGTTAATATACTTTAAGTTAAAATGACGCCAGTGTTACCGGTTGAAACCTAAAGTGGGTAAAGGTATTGAATGTCATTCTCTGATTCCTGTATTTATATATTAATTAGGCATAAAAGTCCATAATAAGCTCTTAAGTGTGTTTTTATGTAGATGGGGATTTAAAACAAAAACAAAAAAAACTCCGGTCATAAAAGTACCGGTGTAGTGTGGACATTGCTTCAGTCGAACAATACAGCTCAAGTCATTTTTTTGTGATTTTATTCTGCAGAAGTCATCGATGCACATCTTCAGAATAACCAGACGACAGTGGACAACAGCTTACCCAGTCCAGACAGACTTAAAGGTATTGTCACATTTCAGGCATTTTCATTTCAATTTGAATTTCTTTCTTGACCAAACCTTTACGTCACATTACGCTATGATGAAATCTGATGGCAATGAGGAGACCGTTTACACCAGCGGCCTCCATTTAAAATTGAATTAAACAACTCCACTCTCTGGGAGGCAGGAATGAACTTTAGTTATTTTTATCATCCTCAAAGATCATGACCTGGTCAGGGTCATTGCTGTAATGAGCACTAATGAGATCAGCATTATTAGCTGTCTATTATTGCTCATGATAATACTCTAGTTCTATTGTGCCCAATAATACAAATGTAATGCATTTTTAGTGTTACCACTAATATGATAAGCAAAAAACATTTTAAATCAGTTCCACCTTAAAGTAATAATGATAATAATAAAAATAATATTCAGAATAGTAATTATTGGAATAATAATCAGATTAAAAATAAATAAAAAAACAAATAAACCATTTGTTAACTTTCTTTTACAAAACTATTTCACCCAATAATACATTTATATATATATATATATATATATATATATATATATATATATATATATATATATATATATATGTATATCACACAAATATATATATATATATATATATATATATATATATATATATATATATATATATATATATATATTTATATGTCATACATTTGAATTCTTGCACGCTTTCATTTTATTTTTAAATTTACATCTTAACTTTCATTGAAAAAAATGTGATAACAATTCAGATGATGCATTAATACTGGTGTAAAAAATATATTTCATTTTTTTAAACCTCAATTTACTCCTCATGGAAGCCACAGCAGCATTATTCTACTAGTTTAGCACATGACTGCATGTCCCTTCTGAAGCCTGGGTCACTGAAATGACCATGTGCGGGCAATAACTTCCACCAGTCAGAACTACAGGGGGCTCATTCACTGCCAGCTATTGTAGATCATGAGTAATTGAGTCTGATATATAAACACGCTCCTGATTAGACTGAAATATTGATGCAGACCGTCTGGTAAAAATTGTGATTGGTATATAGTTGTTAATGTGGTTTGGAGTTACGGATGTGTCCCCCCCTGTTCTCTTCTAAGTGGTGTGTTCCGCTCTGCCTTTACAGAAAACCAAATAGACGCTAAAGAGTGTGATATGTCAGATACTCTGAGCCCCAGCAAGGAGAAAAGCAGTGACGACACTTCAGGTATGGAAGTGATTCTCAATGTATGAGTGGCTGTGTTTTGATTTCTGCTGTTCTTTATTTATTCCTCACACTTTCTACTTTTTTTTTTAAAGCTTGTTTGGACATTTTTCTGAGCTTCTTTCATTTTTGTTTCTTTTGCTCTTTTTTGTTTTCCTTATGTATTTTTTCTTATGTTTTTTCTTTTTTCCTTTACTTTTTTTCTTTCTCTCTTCTTTGATTTTTCTACTGTTTCTTTTCATTTGCTCCCATTCATCAGTTCTTTTTCTTTGTTTTTATTGTACTTTTTATCATTTCTTTCTTTCTTTCTTTCTTTCTTTTGTTTTTATTCTTGTACTTTTATCGTTGTCTTTCTATCTTTTCTTTCGTTTTTCTTTTCTCTCTTTTGTTTGTTTTTCTATTTTTTCTTTTTATTTGCTCTTTCTTGCATCAATGTTTTTCTTTATTTTTATTCTTGTTCTTTTTATCATTTTCTTTCTTTCTTTCTTTTTTTCTTTCTTTCTTTTTTTCTTTTTCTCTTTCTTTAGTTTTGTTTTTCTACGGTTTCGCTCTTTCTTTCATCTGTTTTTTATCTTTTGTTTTTATTCTTGTACTTTTCTTTCTTTCTCTCTTATTATTTAATTTTTCTTTCATAGTTTTTTTTTTCATTTTTATTTTTTTTTCAGTCTAAGTCTTTCTTTTGCTCTTTTATTCTTTTTTCTTTCGCTTTTTTTACCTTTCACTCTCTTAACATTCCCTTTTCATAATCAGTTGAATGGACGTAATATTAAATGGAGGGATTGTTTACAAGTGTCAGAAATAACTCCATCTTCTTTTGTGTCAAATTAATGAAATGGTATCATCTGTGTGTTCATTTTGTACTGTTTTTCAACTCTTGTGATTGTTTTGTTTAGCTCTTTTATTTGAGTTATTAGAAAAACTATTTACCAAATTTGGTTTTATTTATAACATTTATAATGGGAGTAAAGTACAAGAACAAAAATGGAAAGCAAAATATACACTTACCAATTTTCTCGTAGGACAAGCAAGATTGGCCATTTTAAATCTCATACATGTCAAAATGATGGAGAAAACAACATTTTGCTCAGGATATTTATACTAAAACTCTTTCTTTTGCTCTTTTATTCTCTTTTTTTGTTTTGATCTTTTTTCTTTCACTCTTTCTTTCCTTTGTCCTTTTCTTTCTTTAATTTTTTTCATGATGTTATTGCTGTTTATTAACTTCCTCTTTTCCTTTTCTCCCTCTTTCCAGACGGACAGATGGAAGAACAAGAACTGAACGAGCCCCAGAACCGCGTTTCTCTTCTGAAAGGTAAAGCCTTCCTCCATTCTCCTGTGTCTAAGTTTTCATTCAGCTCTCCTGCTTTCAGAAAGGCCAGTGCTGATGTGTGTGTGTGTTTTGGCTAAAGCGCAGTGTTAGTCACTCTCTTTATCTGCACTCATTAGAGCTCAGTGGACTGGTATGCTGCACAACTGTGCAGCTTAACATGGGTCTGTTATTTCCCAGTGTGCCTATATATGGTGTACATCAGCGGTAAGGTGTGAGCGGTGGGTTGGAGAACAGGTGTGTGTGCGCGTCATGCTGGTTTTTCTCCCTCCCTCAGATCTTTCCCCTCGTCCCATTTTATGTTTTCCTCCGGAGGGCAGCGGGGGCTTTAAACCAATTACAGCCCAATTAGACACTGAGTGTTTCCCTGCGTCACGTACAGCTGCTGTTCAAAATCTGTCAGTCACATGGAACAGAATGCTGATTGGATCACGACGGGCTTTGAAGTGATGGAATGTATCAGTTTTTAGAATTTCCGGAATTCTAAATATATTTAGTGTTCCATTGTCATGGTAACACTAATAGAATAGGTTTGAAATAGGCGTTCTATTATCATTTGCTGAACTTTATTTTTTTTCAAAAGTTGTTTGTTTCTTTCTGTTTGTCTGTCACAATCTTTAAGATGGTCAGGGAGAAGGAGAGTAACAATAATTTTGGGTGAAACACGTAAGCAAACACACAATATCAACAAGTGAGGGACAAAATATCACGATTAACTAAATGCAATAAAGTGAGTTTTATTTACAAAAGATAGTGATAATAAGTGCAAAAAATGTATATATAAACAAAAATAAATATTTTCAAGAATATTTTGAAAATCACAGGCAACAAACAGGACACAATGGGAGAGTTGGAGAAATGAGACTCGGGCGGCGTCTAAAGCCTGGTTTATACTTCTGCGTCAAGTGACCGGCGTAACCAACGGCGCATGGAACGCGCTTATCTGCATTTATAATTCTGTGCGCTGTCTCAGTTGGTCTGCATTAACACTTCCAAAACGCTAGTTGGCAGTTAGGTGTTAATGTGTCTCTGTGTCGAGTTTCTTCGCTGGTGTTTTGTTCTTTCTGAACGCTTGCGGGATGTACAAGTGGCGCAAACTCACTCTTTTTGAGGCGGGAACCGGTGAACTTGCAACAACTTTAACTATGAGGTAAACGCAAAACAAAACTTTCCATCCGGAGCTCCTTCACGGGCTCCACAGTTGTAAACAGTCGCTCCATCGGGCTCGTGCCAATCGCGTGGCTCTCGGTCCCGCCCAGACTCGTCAGCGCTACCAAGCCGACCAATCACAGAGCTTGCGCTACGCGGCGTTGGGACTTGAAGTTACATTTTTTTGAGAGGTGCACGTCAGCGACGGCCACGGCATAGGGCTATGCGTCGATGCGTAGGCTGAGCCGTAGCGTGCGTTTTGATGGAGAAGTATACATCAGCCTTAAACAATAGAAATGAAACAAAACAACCTATTCTGTTGGCCCAACCTCTACCCTAACAATCCAAAAAAAAAAAAGTGCCTTTCTTTCTTTCTCACTGTTTATTTCTGTCTGTCTTTTTCTTTTCTTTTTTTATCTCTTTTTTTTTTCTTCCTTCATTTGATCATTTAAGCATCACATTTTAATTAATCTAATTGCACTCAATCTGGTTTAGTTTTTTTTTTTATAGCTTCCAACCTATTTTTCAACCAGTTTCTTCAGATCTAATGGCATATGGCTTTAGTTTTAGTTTGCTGACCACAGCTTTAGTTTAGCCATGTGTGACTCTAGTAGAGGGCTGAACAATATGGCAAAAAATGCAGTCTCTAATTATTTTCCTTATTAAACAATAACAAAATATATTTCAATAAGTTGTTAATGCTTCCAGGTTTAAATGAGTACCAGTGCCACAAAAATTGAGGGTGTGCTCTGTTGATGGTGCTGAGCTCATGTCCTTTAACGGGACGTCAGATAAGAGACTCTGGCTCTTGTTCAGCGGATCAGGGAGGAAGTGCCAGTTTCAGCACCTCATTGTTTTTGTGCGCTCCTGATGAAGTGTAGAGATGCCAGGCAGACTCAGAGGCGGCCAGCTTTAGAGCCGTGTGTGTGCTGCCACCTTTGTGGACCATTAGAGCTGTTGTTTTTCTGCTTCTATTTCTTTTTCTGAATTACATTTTCATTTATCTTTTCATATGACGATAATGAGTCTGGATAGGAACTAATTTTAAAACGTTATCGCAATAATAGTATATGCAATATATGTATCGCAGACATGTGTGATATATTATTATTATTTTTTAATACACTTGAATTTTTTTTTTAAATATAAATTTTAACAATGATTTGAGGCCTTAGGAACTTTAGCCCCGCCTTCCCAGTTGTTTCTGTTCTGCTATTGGCAGAAACTGCAAAAGGTGGACCCAGAGCTAAAAATAAACTCATATGGGTGGAGTTGAGATGAGAGAGGAAAATCAGAGTTAGACTATCTGCTGAGGTTTTCACTCATTCATAATGTTTCAAAGAGTAAATATTTGTAAAAAAAAAAAACAAAAAAAACAAAACTAAATCTAAATAATATTTTTTAACTGTTTATTTTAATGTCATTACATAAATATTTAATTAAAACAGAACTAGTATAAACAGCCTTTTCCCAAGGAAAATGTTAAATTGTAAGTAATATTGTTATCACAATCATCAACAATACCACATTTTTCCAGCACCATGCCTAGTGTAATTAGCCACACTAAAACGCTTGTATGGTAAGGTGGACCTGTAGCCCTTCTGATTTTATATATTTATTTTTTCAAAAGTTTTATTGAAGATAAAGATCACAAAAATTTAATTTTCCAAATTTTGTCAAGCTCGTTGGTTGTCAAATGTTAATGTGGTTTTTCTTGTACTTTAGTGAAAAGGCTGTTTTTTTTAGCCTTTTTTTTACTTTAACCTATATTAAACTTACATTATATTATATTTATTTATACATAATATCACTGAAATTATTTAATGCCAACATTTCAGTAGATTTAAATTTATTGTTGTTTAGTGTTTGGAACGGAGTTTGACATAAGTAGTAAAAAGTTTTTTCATTAAAGAAATTTACTACATTTTTGAATGTAAATTTTCCATGTCTGTAAATTTCACTCTTTTATAAAAACCCTGATTGTTGAAAAGTACAGTTGTTAAAGTAAAAAATCAATGAATTCATTCATTCATTCATGCATTTTCTTTTCAGCTTAGTCCCTTTATTAATCCGAGGTCGCCACAGTGGAATGAACCACCACCTTATACAGCACATGTTTTTTTTTATGCAGCGGATGCCCTTCCAGCTGCAACCCTTTACTGGGAAACATCCACACACACACACACACACACACACACACACACCTTGGACAACTTTATATATATATATATATATATATATATATATATATATATATATATATATGTGTATATATATATATATATATGTATATATATATATATATATACACATATATATATATATATATATATATATATATGTGTATATATATATATATATATATATACACAAACTCACACACACACACACACAAAATATATATATTATATATTCACCTTGATTAATATATACACAGCTTGTGTGTGTGTGTGTATATATATATATATATATATATATATATATATATATGAAATGTATGTTTGTATGTGGTAAAATGTGCCACTAGGTGGTGCTGTTGCATTGATTTAAAATACTCTTTCACCTTTCGAATGCATCTGCACTGGCTTGAGTTATTCATTTGCTTTAATGAAGTGTTATCTGAACACATGTAGCCATATATGGCTGTGTTACTCAACCTCAGCCATGAAGTCCTTTAGAGACACTCTTGGTGAAATCACCCAAGGAGCAGCAGAATGAGATTACACACCACTTTATGCCCTCTCTCATTAAATAAATGGCAAATCTTCAGAAACGCAGAGTTCGTGACATCATCTTGCCTGAAAGCAACTCCCTCGCTCGCCGTAAACACCCTCCTTCTGACATCATGACAGATTACCAGCCCTTAAATTAGCACATGACTTCACCGACATCTGTAGAGCGTTCGGAAAGGGGGAACATTCATTAGTTTATGGTCAGAGGAGCTTTCCCTAAAGCCTGTTGTTACAAGACCACATGAGAGATCAGCTTGGATGCTCCTTAAGGAGACCGCATGGGCACAAATGTATGAATGTGTGGCTTAAAGAGTCTTAATGTTCTTCGGTTTGTCCTGGTGCAGGTCATATTAGAAGTGTTGTGTGTAAGGTCATCATGTTCTGTTTTTTGTCATTTGACGTTTGACTGCTAGACTCCCAGAAAACTATAAAACAGTGTATTTAATTTAGTTAATCTTTGCTCTACTGTATTTATCAAAGTTTGGGTGGTTTGGTTTATTATATTTTATGCAGACACACATCTGGAATAGGTTGTTTTCACATGATATCACTGATGACGTGTGAGACTCAGATTGAGGGCAGGAAGTGATTCTTCTACATAGGAATCGTTGTCAGAACATCAAAATATTTTATAAGTTTTATGTTGTTTGTAATTGTTTAAATTGACTAAAATAAGAAATGCATTACAGCGTTTATGGATTTCCAAAGGTTTTTGCTCATAAAAGGGGACAATTTTGAGAAACTGGCTGATAAACGGAAGAAAAGGCGGCAAGTATATATAAACAAGCAATACACAATAAATGCACTGAATAAATCTACATTACATTCTGCCCTTTACAATGTTAACATCAGGGTTCCCACACTACTTAAAAGTACTTTAATTTCAGACATATGGATTTAAGGCCAGGAAAAAAATTACTTAAAAACAAACACAGGTGCTTTAAAGTGCTTGAATTACATCGGAGATTAAATTTTGTTTATGGTTTTATTGCAACAGTTGTACTCTATTGTCAAAAACAGAATGAAAAAGCCTAAATTAAAAATCTTAAGTTTAAATCATGTACAATAACAAATAATTAGGGCTGCATGATATTGGGAAAGATTGCTATTGCATTGTTTTTTTTTTTTTTTTTTTTTTTTGGCGATATGTATTGCAATTTCCTCAGATGACTTAAATAGCTCTATTTTGCAGGTTATTAATTTAGATTAGGGGTCACTAATCTCGATCCTGGAGGGCCGGTGTCTCTGCAGGGATTCGCTCCAACTTGCTTTAACACACCTGCTTGGATGATTCAAGTATACCTAGTAAGACCTTGGCTGCGTCCGAAACCGCATACTTCCATATTATATAGTACGATTAAATCAGTATGCGAGCCGAGTAGTATGTCCGAATTCATAGAATTCGAAAATCAGTATGCGAGAAGTACCCGGACAACTTACTACTTCCGGCGAGATTCTAGAGTGTGCATCCCATGCATGCTGTGCTATTCCATGATGCCCCACGAGCGAATTCATGAATGGGAGTAAAGTGACACAATTGACGCAGGTAGGTCACGTGACCATGACAAATTGGCGGATGTACAAAATGTAGTACGTCCGAATTCCATTCATACTTTTCACGTTCATACTGTATAGAACGTACTTTTCTAACGGCCGAGTAGTGCGTTTAAATTCAAATGCAGTACCTACTGAGTAGTAGGCGGTTTCAAACGCAGCCCTTGATTAGCTTGTTCAGGTGTTGATTAGGGTTGAAGCTAAAATCTGTAGGACACCGGCCCTCCAGAAACAAGTTTGGTGGTCTCTAATTTAGATTATTATCAAGCTCCTACTAGATATACTAGAACGGGCATGTCCAAACTCTGTCCTGGAGGGCCGGTGTCCTGCATAGTTTAGCTCCAACGTCTATCAGCACACCTGCCTAGAAGCTTTTAGTATTCCTAGAAATAGTTGGATTAGCTGGTTCACGTGTGTTTAATTGGGGTTGGAACTAAAATATGCAGGACACCGGCCCTCCAGGACCGAGTTTGGACACCCCTGGTCTAACAGTATTCAGTTACAGAAATTGAATAATCAAATGTAAAATAACATTGCACAGTCTTCATCATATAAATGATTCAATACAGTTGTTCTTTATTAAATTCTTTAGACTATTAATATTCTCACATAGTCACAGGCCTTAAAAAACAGTTGCAGATGATAAACTTTCACTCTACTGTGGTTGAACAGATCTCTTGTATTTACTTGCGATTTCTGGTCAACTATAATCCTAACCAGTGCTTTACATTAACACCCGCCAAATGCGGGTAGATTTCAGCTTTGGCGGGTTAGACAGACAATCCTACTAGCCGCTTTGGCTGGTAGAAAATAATTTTTAATTGTAGTTTTCCTAAAAGCAGGGTTCATCAATATAAGCATGACTCAATATGTGTGCAAGTGTGATCTTAGAATCAAGAAGTACTAATAATTGTGTTCACGCGAGCAGAAAAAAGCAAATGAATACCGAATGAGAGGATGATGATCACTCGCGCTAACAGCTGATTTGATGCGCGCAACTTCTTCAAACGTGTGCGCGTGACTGCTTAACGCGTGCGCGCTCCAGGATCGGGAATCAACCGTGTCTGGAACTGGTTCTGGAAATGCTCATTGAGCAAGCTCATACTCGACACACAAAAAGTGAAATGAATGAGGACGCATGTGGAGATAACATGGAATTTAAATCAATAATTTTAGCATGTCAACTTCAAATTTATGCATATAAAATTTATTTTCCCAACAACAAAATTGTGGCTAGTGAAAATGCAGAGTGGCTAGTAACATTGGAAAACAACTAGCCACAGTGGCCGGTAATTAAAAAAAATAACGTAAAGGACTGATCCTAACTCAACATTGCATATCTTGCTATGTGATTATTGCGTGTGTACACATTGCGACATCGATGCTCAAACTATATATTGTGCACATTTGATCAATATTTCAGCATCTGCATTTGAATGTCACAGCAGTGAATTCAACACATTTTTATCTGTACGTGACTTTTTAAAATAGTAAAATGTTTGTGAATTACTCTTTTTAATGTAAATTTTAAGTGCGAGTTAAATGTTAAGTACCAGCAGGACTTTCATGGCACTACATACACTGGGGTGTGATTTGGGAAGTTGCTTGATTTAAAATTAACGGTGCTTTCAAAGTCCTTGAATCTGCTGCTTATGAACGTGTGAGAACCCTGTTACCTCTATTTTTCATGCTGTTCAATCCACTCTCCGTGCGTTTGCAGAAATGGACAGGAGCTTGGAAGCTGGAGACACCGAGCAGGTGATTCCACACATCCACCGGGAGCTGCAGGAGGCACAGGAGCTCGCCAACACCGGCAAACAGAAATGCCTCGAGCTTCAAGGTACGACAATGTGTTGATGATGCTCTTTTCACTTATCTGACACTTGCATCAGTTTGTACATTTGCACCAGACACTTTCTTACAATCACTCCATGGGCTCTATTTTGACGGTCCATGCGCAGAGCGCAAAACGCAGGGCACAAACGCTTTCAGGCCATGGCAGAATGCATTTTTGCTAATTTAAGGACGGGAAAATCCACTTTGCGCCGTGGCGCATGGTCTAAAAGGGTTGAGTTTATTCTCTTAATGAGTTATAGGTGTGTTTTGAGAATAAAGCAATTAGAGTCTCATCTCCCATTCCCTTTAAGAGCCAGTTGCGTCGCGCCAAGAGTGAATTCGCTATTTACAGGACGTAAAGTGGAAAAACTGAGCATTTCACTAGCAAACAGTTAACAGTGTTTTAACAGAAAACTGTTAAACAGAGCATCTACTGCGTGAGAATAAGAGATAATGGATCACTTTCACTTTCGCTCTTGGATAGAAAAACCTTTACGCAAAGACATCAATTAGTCTATAAATAATTAATTGCGTTTGTTAAGCGCAAATATTCGTTTCAAAATTATTTCTAAATTCAGTTCTAATTTCTAGCAAACGAATAAATGAACAATAATAACGAAGTGTGTTCACAAACCTAAGTTATATCCTAAAACACATGCTGTGCCCCATATGGTCTAAAACCTGCAGGCGGGCAAATCTAAGCTTGTTTTTAATAAAACAAATATAAATATGGATATAATAAATAATAATGCTAATAATAATAACATTATACAAAAGCAAATTGTTATAAATAAACTGAATAATCCTCCCGAGATGAAGAAGACATAAAAGCAGTGATTTTTCATATTTATGTAGGCTAAAAAATAATATGTTTTGTAATATTTTAACCCTTTATATTGATATTCTATATCTATTCTTATTATATCCTATATATATATATCCTTAATATTTAAATTTTTTCATATGTAAAGATATTTGCCTATTGCTCTCTTGTGTGTATTAAGCAGTGTGTAAGCGAGGCGCAACTCTGCGCTGGAGTTTAGACCGGGTTAGTTTTGGTCTAATGAAAAATCTATTATAGTTTCTCAAAATAGCAACGCGCCAGCGGTCCGCCTCAGAACGCCTTCCTTTTTAGACCAGAACGCCTATGGGCGCACAAATAAGCGCAAATGCATTTGCTATTTAAACAGCGTAGCGCAACGCCTCAAAACGACTCTTGCGCCAAGCTGAAACTATCTCTATAAATACATTTGGGCATTTCTGAGTGGGCTCGACAAACCACCTGTCGAAAACACACTTTCATCTTTCTATGCACCAGACACATTCTAACAATCACTCTACAACTCTATAAAAATGTCTTGGTGTGCCTCACACAAGTGAGTGGGCTTGACAAACCACCTGTAGAAACTCTCTTCTCTCCATATGCACTGGACACTTTACTTAAAACTCTATCGTGCACTCAAGAAAAACAATGTTTGCTTGTGAATCATGTTGCACTACTTGTTTTCATCAACTTTTTAATACCTCCTTTGCACAATATCCTGCACAATATTGTTCCGTCTTATTTAAAAGTACTTGTAAGCATTTATAGTATAAGCATAGTTAGTATAGTTAAACTGCTGCTCTGTTATGTATAGGTTTAAAATAGCGCTTACGTGTTCCTTTGAGACTCGACATTGCGTTCCTCTGTATGTCCACAGTAGTGAAATGACAATAAGGCTTAACTTGAGTTTGACCTGAACAGTGATTGAGCATTTGTTATCAAAGTTCCTGATGGCATTGGGTTTACTGTGAATTGCTATGTCTTTTTCTCCTCAGCCATGCTGGAGGAGGAGAGGAAAACCAACCGACAGCAGACCGAAGAATCTGCTAAACAGATCCGCTTCTTACAGAGTGAGTTATTCATTCACAAATCGCTGTAGGGTTTTGACTTCTCTTATTTCTTCATAAAGCGAAAAGTTAATAATACATTTAAAATCTAATCATATCATTTCATTCATTTACTTATAAAACACAAATATGGACCACAGAACCATTCAAAAGGGTCAACTGAGATTTAGGAAGTATCTGGAAGTTGAAGAAATAAATAAGGGATTTTAAAGCATGAATAGTCCTCACTTTAGATTAAGTCACAAAACTGCGTGAAATTGAGTTAATAAAGTCTTTATTATCATTCATAGTAACCATTAATATATGCCTGAATAATAAGATATATAAACATCGATTTCAATAGTTTGTTTATCATTTAATAACTCATTCTGAATGATCCTAAAAACCATCAACAAACGGTTTGTAAAAAATGCAATACTTCCTTAAGTAATGACAAATAAATCATTAACAAAGTGTGAAAGTACAATTATTAAGCACATTTTAAATATGTTTGTAGGTCAAGAATATCGCTTTTGTAGCTGCAGTTATAATCTTCTTAATGATGTTTATTAATGTAGAGTTAATGCTTAACAGATAATGAATTCACTATTTGCCAATGCATAGTAAATCATTTATAGTGTGTAGTTATTATAAAGTGTTACCAAAATGTGTTATAGAGAGTTATTAACGGATAAATTCTGTGGTTTTATATTATTGATGGTGTGCTGGGTCATCCCTTCACTCGTTGTACGATGCCAACTGTCTAGTAAATGAATATAATGAATGAAAATACACAGGCCTGTGCGTATTGACATAATGTGTAATGCTTTACAGTAGTGTGCTTGTTTTGGTTGTCTTTATTTTAATTGCTTCGTGATGATGCGATGGTGTGCTTTGTCTGCCTGATTCCGGCTGAACTGGCCGGGTTGTGTGGTGTTTGATTCGTGGGATGTACTGGGGGCGGGTTTGCGTGCCGTGCTGCGAGTTATTAGCATTGACAATGGAAACGTCACATGATTTCAGCCGCACTACTCAACCTCCCTGGCTATTAGCCTGCCCCGATAAACACCCTGGCTTGCGATGGCTCAACAGTGGAAATGCAGCTGTTATCATCATTATGGGTTGAAAGCTAGTTTTCAGTTGCCAAAAATCATTTGCAGATAGAGTAAACTAGTGAATTTACAGAGAGTTAATTTTATCAAATATAGTGTTGCATTGGATTGGTGCTAAACTCATGCACTACACAGTTGGGTGCATTGTAAAACAATGGCAAAAACGCACTTCCTCACTGAAGAATAAGTGTCATTTGGGATGCAACTAATAACTCTTCTTTACCTTCAGCTCAACTAGCGAAGCTGCAGACTGATATGGAGGCTTTGCGAGAACAGCGAGAGAACACTATCACCACCACTCGAGAGGAGCTGTACAGCGCTCAGGAGGAGATCCTGGTGCTCCGGCACGCCATGGAGGCCGCCACCGCCGAGCGGGAGCGAGAGATCACCGCCCTGCAGGGAGACCTGAGCATCGTCACTGCCGAGCTGGACAAATGGAGACAGACGGCAGCCAAATATGAAGTGGAGATCAGCAATCTGCAGGCCAGCTTTCAGCTCCAGA